TAGGTTCCGGGCAGGATGAGCTGAGGGAGAGGAAGGGATTTGTACCGACGCCAACTCCTGCAAACATCTCTAAGAGCTATTAGCGCCACCTACTGCCTGAAAATCACATTTCCTTCTGTTAGAAGTCAAGACTTAAAAAGATATTTAGGCCGGGCGCTGGTGGCTCACGCCTGTAATCCTAGCTACTCAGGAGGCTGAGATCTGAGGATCGCGGTTCAAAGCCAGCCTGGGTAGGAAAGACTGTGAGACTCTTATCTCCAATAAACCACCAGAAAACCGGAAATGGTGCTGTAGCTCAAGTGGTAGAGCGCTTGCCTTGAGCTGAAGAGCTGAGGGACAGCGCCCAGGCCCAGAGTTCAAGCCCCACGACCGACCAAAAAAAATGATATTTAGGACAAGTGAAGATCATAAGCCACAGGGCGATGACCCGTACCGTGATGAAGGGTGGGGAGAAGGTGTGTCCAGGGATGCCGCTGAGGTGGTAGTGTCTCTGGACTGGCGGCCGGTAATAACACGTCACACGATCCAGAAGAAAGTGGCTTAGCAAATGTGGATGCTCAGCTGCTTACACACATGCACAGCCCTGCGCCCCTCATGTGGACCATCTCCTTTAATGGACCGCCGTTCTGCAAAAGGGGAGAGGGGACTGCACCAGCGCAGAGCAATGTCATCGAGCCCAGGTCACCGAGCTGGGATTGGAGCCTGTAATCCTGGGTCTCTAGAGGAAAGAACTCTTTTCCTGTGATCAGGGCTGTGCATGAGTCTGTCTGCACCACACCCACTCCTGTGACTCAGTTTCCTTTTCATACCTGGCTACAATCAAGAATATAGTTGAGACTACCTTACTGTATTTAAGTATGTATCTTACTTACACCGGTCATACGCATAGCAATCTACTGGATCCCTAATAACACTATGTGCCAAGTCCTTTACGTACATCACTGCACCTATCTGTCAGGGTGAGCATCTGCAGTAGGTACCATTGTGAGTCCCCATTTTACAGGTAAGGAAATAGGTACCCGGAGGCGCTCACCCACCTTTGACTGGAGGCCGCCCCGCACGCAGGCAGTGTGGCTGCCGCCTGTGTGTGCAGCACTGCCGTACCATGAGCAGGTGCTTCGAAGCAGCGCCGTTGTATCGGCGGGGAGGGAGGTCCCCAGAAGCGAGAGGCGGCGGCCGGCAGAAGCGTTGCTTTCCCTGCTTAGTATCACAAATAATTCGTGGCAGACTTTATTGCTTCCCGGCACGCCTGTAGTAACAGCTTTTTTATCTTTTTTATTCTGTCTTTTTAAGGGGGCTTTATGCAGTTTTTGTTGTTGTTGTTGGTTGTGGGGCTTGAACTCCGGGCCTGGGCGCTGTCCCTGCACTCTTCAGCTCAAGGCGAGTGCTCTACCGCTTGAGCCACAGCGCCACTTCCAGTTTACTAGTGGTTTATTGGAGATAAGAGTCTCACGGACTTTCCTGCCCGGGCTGGCTTTGAACCGCGATCCTCAGATCTCAGCCTCCTGAGTAGCTAGGATGACAGGCGTGAGCCACGGGTGCCAGGCTGCTTTATGCAATTTTTGCCACCAATTGTTTCTAGCCTCTGTTGGCTGCTGAGGGCTGTTGGTAATAATACAAATGACACAGATGTTGGTTGTGTATTGTTTATAAGAGAGGAATCTGTGTTCTTACCCAGGACAAACACTGTTCTCAGCGCAGCAGCAGGGATCTAGAATACCATCACCAAACTTCATCCAGCCAGTGAGGGCCTTTGCCCAGCTGGAGAGTGTGTGACGCCGTGGCAGGTCGCGCCACCTAGCGGCTAGACAACGCTGGGGCTCCCAGCCGTTCCTGCACTTAACTTGCAGAAAATTACCCACATCTGTGTGTGTGTGTGCACGTGTGTGTGTGTGTGTGTGTGTGTGCGTGCGCGCGCGCCCGCACGTGCTCGTGCTCGGTGGGGCGTGTGCAGCATCCACGTCCACACAGCAGCCCAGGTGGATCTGGATCTGACGCGTTACGTCCCAGTGGCTCTGCGCTCGGCTTTGCCCTTGGCCCCAGCTCCCTCTTGTCCTTGGCAGCTGCTGGGGGTGGGCGGGGGGGTGGGGCTCCTCAGGACTGTTGTGGAGTTGTAGAGACCAGCGGGGCCTGCCCAGGGGGCGGGATGGAGCAGGCTCACGGGAGGCACGAGCCTCCGAGCCTCCGTGGTGGCAGATCCGTTTGCCTTCCCTCCTTGGCGGCTGCTGTGGACCTCGGTGCCGCGTCCGCTCCACTTCGTGGTGAAGCCTGGGAGCCGCTCTCTCGCCGCTCCCGTGGTACGGGCTGCAGCACGGCGCCGGCCAGCGGATCGCTGGTCTCTGTGCCCGTGCGCTCAGCCTCCCTCCAGCCATCCTCAGGCCCCTTCCTCTTCTTCTCTGGAAGCTGGTCTTCCCTTGGGATGCTCTTGCTGCACCCTCTGCTTTTCTTTATTCCCTCTTTCTTTAAACACATCTTTCAAGATTCAGGGAGCTGAGACAGAGTCACGGAGGGGTGAGCTGGACCACAGCACATTCCAGGCACGCGTGGAGATACTGCAGCGAGCCCCTTGTCTGATTAAGGCCTGCTACTGAGAACAGTGGACAGATCACTCGAGCCCTCCGGAAGCCCTGCTCACCTCCTCGTCACGCCCTGCCTGGCGTGCGCTCTCACTGGGCATCTCTGCTCACGCTGCTCCTGCCTGGCGTGCGCTCTCACCGGGCATCCCTGGTCACGCTGCTCCTGCCTGGCGTGCGCTCTCACCGGGCATCCCTGCTCACGCTGCTCCTGCCTGGCGTGCGCTCTCACCGGGCATCCCTGGTCACGCTGCTCCTGCCTGGTGTGCTCTCACTGGGCATCTCTGCTCACGCTGCTCCTGCCTGGCGTGCGCTCTCACCGGGCATCTCTGCTCACGCTGCTCCTGCCTGGCGTGCGCTCTCACCGGGCATCCCTGGTCACGCTGCTCATGCCTGGCGTGCGCTCTCACCAGGCATCCCTGGTCACGCTGCTCATGCCTGGCGTGCGCTCTCACTGGGCATCCCTGGTCATGCTGCTCCTGCCTGGCGTGCGCTCTCACCGGGCATCCCTGGTCACGCTGCTCCTGCCTGGCGTGCGCTCTCACTGGGCATCCCTGCTCACGCTGCTCCTGCCTGGCGTGCGCTCTCACCGGGCATCCCTGGTCACGCTGCTCCTGCCTGG